GTTTGTGGAAACACTCCAACACACACCGCTTCACACACCAACATAGAAATGTGTGAAAAAGAGCTGAGCTGATATTAAACATGAGGATTTATTCAGAAATACAGAGTCAGGAACAACATCTAGACACACATTACCTCTCAGCAGCAGAAGAACAGCCTTTAAAGTTTTCACCAATATCCTTCGACACGTTGCTCTTTAAGGAAACACAGCTGGGTTCAGGTCCAGGAGATTCTGGCCTCTTATTGATCCTAAAAGAAAAACAATAAATGTCACAGCTTCATGAGACAGGAAGGAAAAACTGGAAATATTAAATTAAAGACATGATGAACAATGTGAAACTCATAAAAATAATGTACTTACTCTTTGTCACATAACAGTCTTTTGTTAAAGTCTACACCAATATACTTCGACTCGTTGCTCTTTAAGGAAACACAGCTGGGTTCAGGTCCAGGTTCTGGATTAGTTTCAGGGTTATGTCCAGCTGAGCCTGGTACGCCCCACAGCTCTGGGCTTTAAAACAACACACACAGAGGTATGAGTGTGAATAATGATGGAGCAGTGATGTGAGTGCTGAGCTGTGACATGGAGAAGAGTCATGGACAGTTAGAGATGGTCATCTCACCTCTGAGCTTTGGTCTGGCTCTCATGTTCCCCACACAGAGTGCTTTTAGAGGGAGGGACTCCCTCCTCTCTGTCCTCACACTGATCCATGCTGCTGAAAACGTCCAGATGAAGAGAATCAACTTTTTGGGGATTTACTGGATGATTGAGCATCCAGACACTTTTTAATATTTTACTAATTTCTGAAGCTTTTTACCAACTTTGTTCAAATTGGTCTGCTGTCATTTTATTGTTGACAAAAAGAGATTTTGAGTGTTGACGTTTCCATGTGGGACTGTTGCTGCAACACCATAGATGTTACTACAGAATACACTTTATATTGTGAGCACTTGGATGTTAGTCCAGTGGTCCTAAACTGACACACCTGCACCTGGATTCATTCTGACCAGATTTTAGCTCAACAGTGTTTCATACTTAATACATCAGACACAAACTCTGCAGCTGTCATTGTGTGCAGTGTGTGTGCAGTGTGTGTGCAGTGTGTGTGCAGTGTGTGTGCAGCGGGTCACCGTGTCCTATGAGTGTTATACTACAATAAACAGAGCCTGACCGCGGGCATAAAGAGGGCAAAAACACACTTATGCTCTAAAGATTAAGTTTTATTTCTCTTCAAATGAGCCTGAGAGCATGTGGATCTGTGCATCACAGATTACCTCAAGAACAACAGGCTGAAGAACATAAAACAAACGCAGAGTTTCTGTCTGACGGTTTGAACATGAAACAGGAATTATTGAGCAAAAACGGACAGTTTACTAATTTATGATCAATCATCAACGCATTCACCTACAATACACGAATGAACATCACCAGTTAAACTGAAAATAACCTGCATACAAATACGACAGCAGAATATAGCGAACAAGCAGAGAAATGCATTTTATAGATGAAATGTTGGCAGCGACTTCCGAAAAGAAACTCTTAGGACACCCCTGTCTCACTGTCAGCAGTTAAAGAACATCCACAGACTGATGGAGGCAGGAGAAGCTGCCTACAGACATCAGTCAGTGGATCCACAGTAACATCGAGTTCAGCTGCTGATCATCAACTGTTTCTGTCTCGTTCCCAGACTCTGATCTCACATAAAACGAAGCAGATTTATTCTGAAACTAAGCTGCACACAGCTGATGTTAGCCAGGAAAACAGTACAGACTGCTAACGTTACCTTAACATGGAGACGATCAACTGCGCCACAGCATTCACGAAAGCGAAAGTAAAAGCGACGGAAGGAAACGCCCAGAGAGGCGTTTGAGGGACGGTCAGAGTCAGGAACCTCAGAAACGGATCAGGCTGGAGTTTAATTCTGTTTTCATCTTTAGAAACATCTGGAAATAGTTATAAAAATGCTGCGTAATAAAGAAAAATAGTGTAGATTAGTTTGAGTTGTGTTTAGCTGAGCTGTGTCTTTAATCTGAAGTTCATTTTGTGGAGGAGCAGCAAGACTTTCAGTGTTACTCTCAGAGAAAGCCTCCCAAATGTCTGTTGTCTTAATAGTGGAATTATCTGGAAAATGAACCAGTTCTTATGAGCTGCTTTTCTGTATGAGCAGTCAAAGCATTTTATACAGCGTGCTTCATTCACACAAGCACTTCTTTTTCTAACAATGACACTATGATGGATGCATCGGAGAGGAAGTCGGAGTTCCATATCTCGCCCAAGGATACCGTGGTGTGCAGACTGGAGCAGCCAGGGATCAAACCTCCAACCTTCCAGTCAGTAATTCTACCTGCTGAGCTACAGTCTGTACTTCCTGAACAACACACCCTCCTTTTGTTTCTTTATTTCCAGTAGCAACCAGGACCATAATGAACCCTGACTCCAACAGACACTCAGGATCCACCTGCCCAGTAAGTCACCCGCTAACTGCAACTATCAGAGCCCTGACCTTCTGCAGAGACGAGTCACACTGAACACAGCAAGTGTCCCTGCTCTCAGATACAAAATCTGCCTTTAAAAGTTCAGAGTAATGAAATCAGCAGTTCTGATTCTAGAATTTGTAGTCTCACACACTTGTGCAGAGCATTTTTGTATTTTTGATTTACATACGTTGATATTCTGCTGCAAACAACTAATGAGAACATTTTATGAAAGCTTTGAGTGTCCATCAGGATCCTGTAGAAACAGCTTCCATCTCAAACACTAAACATCATTATTTACATTCTGTTTATTTATTTTAAAGTTACTCTAGCACAGATTTCTTTAGCCGAATGTCTTTCTGTGTCTTCCATACAAACGTTAAACATGCAAACACTCAACACAGCAACACTGAAAGCGTTTGAGTGTAACTTTCATTCAAATCAAACTTTATACACAATTACAATAATGGGAAAAAAAAGACAATCTAAATAGTAATACCACTGCAGAAATAAATAAAAGAAAACCAAACACAATCCAGACATGAATACACAATTATATTTAAATCTATATATTTATACATTTTAATATGATGTAAAAGAATACAAATACAAAACCTATCAAACTACCAATATATAAAAACAAGATCAGAATCAATCAGAATCAAAGAGACTTTATTTATCCCCAAGGGGCAATTAACCAACACCAGAGCAGCATGATGTTGAAGATAAGCACAATTTGAACAGGCAATAAGAGTGTCATGATCCGGAGTCTGTGACTCCGTGTTTATGTTTTAGTTTATTATTATTCTGTGGTTTTGGTTACCTTGGGTATTTGTACTCTTCTGTTTCATGGTTCATGTTCCTATGTTCTGTGTCCCCCTGTCTGTGTTAAGTTGGTGTGTTATGTCATTACGTGTATGTGTTTCCTGTTTTACTTTGAAGATCCGTGTCTGTTCTCAGTGTGTTCAGTTTACTTTTCCCCTGTCTCGTCAGGTCGGATTACTCCAGCTGTGTCCTCCTTTTGTATCTCATTCCCTCATTATCCTTCTGTGTATTTAAACCTCGTGTCTGCCTCTGTTAGTTGCTGGTTCGCCTGTGTTGTTCCCCTCGGTCTCCCTGCATCTGCCGTACCTCCCTGCATCTTTGTTCTGGTTTGTTTTGCCCAGCTTAGGTTTTCCTGTTTCATGTTCACCCGCCACTTCTGTTTGTATCTACTCCTGTTCAATAAATATTCACCTGCACCAGAGCTGCCGCATTTTGGGTCCTTTCTACAAACTCCACACGTCTGCCACACCGGACATGACAAAGAGTGAGATAATAAATACACAGTATATACAGTTTTAAAATTACACAGTTTTAAAATTAAAGTGACTGAAGGTGAATAAATAACTGTAAGCGACTAAAAGTGAGTAAAGTGTTGGTAGTATAAGAGTGTAGTTTATGTTTCTGGTGTGGGAAATGTTCTTATCGGCTCCTCCTCCTCTCAGTGCTGCAGGAAATGCAGCGGAGGCGTCGCCCAGAGGGGAGCCATTGAAATGGGGGGTGAAGAATGTGAGAGGAGTCGTTGATGATTTTGGCTGCCTGTCTAAGGGCCTGTTGGCTGAAAACCTGCCAGAGTTCTGACAGGCAGGCCAATGATTTTAGAGCACACTGATGCTGCAGTCTGTTCCTGTATGCAGGCTGAGGGAGTGGAACCAGCAGGTGATGGAGAAGGTCATGATGCTTTCCAGGAAGACGTAGTAAAAAGTTATCATGATGGGTGTGCTGACTCCAAAGGAATTGAGTTTCCTAAGGAGGTTTAGCCGTTGGTTTCATTTTACATTCACTGATTTTCACTAAGCTTAAGTTCACACAGCAGAGAAGTTTGTGGCTGACTCAGTGACTGCAAGGTGCTGCACAGGTCCTGTGGCTGCAACCCAAAAGCATCCCTATCAGCCGTCCTGTGCTAATATGGTATGTTTGGTTTTGGCCTTTGGTCTTGTGTTTGTTTAGATGCAACTTTGCAAACCTAAGCTGTACTGCCATATCATTGTTAGAGAGGAGGAAAGCTTTCTAACAAGCAGCACTGCATGGTCTAGGATTCATCTGCTGGGACGGCCACTGCTGCACTGTGTTGAATCCTCCAGAGCAACAAATTACCAAAACTTCTGTTTTTAAAAAGATGCTCACACTCGCTGATCCATTTATTAGTTACTGTGAAGTCCGACCACAGCAGGACTCTGAGGACTGGACCCTCACACGTCTGTACTTTGTGCTTCTACCCAACTTTACATTGATGTGCTAACTTTAGCTACCAAACACAGTGATGTAGAGATGTGACTCTACAGTAAGGTTATACAAACAGCTGGTGCGAGTCCTGTTTACAGACAGAACCACAGAGAAAAACATAACCTGGTGGAGTTCCTGTGTCGCTCTGTTAGCTCCTCAACACAGAGCAACATGAATGTTATGACGCACCTCGTACTGCTCTGATTTAACTGTGAGCTGAGGCACCAGAGCCAAAAGCTCAGCGATGGCTTAAACCACCTCTGGCTGTGAGTGACAGCTGAGCTCAGGCCAAACAGTTCTCCATGCTGAGATAATATCCACCACCTGAGAAAGAAATATTTATTTTAAGACCAGAACTTTGGAAAAGATTCAAAAGTTATGATCCAGAAACATGATGATTCCTGAATTTAAAGAGACAAATGAAGCGCCTTGAGGCGACTTTTGTTGTGATTTGGCGCTATATAAATAAAATTGAATTGAATTGAATTGAATTGAATTGAAATGGAGACAGACGAGGTACCTCTGCTCGACACAGCTCCTGTGGTCCCTGCAGGATGAGAGCAGCCGGGGTTGCCAGGTCTGGTCTGTTGCACTGTTTTAAAGTGAGTGAAATGGCAGCCACCATGTCTCCTGCATGCTGGTAAGGCCTGGTTAACACACACATCAGCGTGAACAAAGTGGGACGTGTGTTTCTTCTAATTTTGTTACTATTTTTATTTAAGAAAAAAAGCATTAAAAGTGCCAGGACACGTGTAAGTAAGTAAATGCCAAACACAGCTTCTTATCATTGCAAACTCTTATGGCTGCAAATGTTTTACAATAAAAGCAAACGTAAGCATTTGTGAAAACAATGAAACAGCTCAATGATTTGCTAAATTTGTACTGTAGCATCCATCCAGAGGGTTTCCCAGGTTTTCACTAATGCTGGCAAAAAAAGCTGCATGTACATGTTAGCAGGCGTAACAGGCCCCGGGAGGATGAACAGTGTGCACCAGCTGGTTAGAACAAAGGAAATAATCAAATAAAATCATCGTTTTATTTCATCAACACACATAAAGGCCAGTTCACAAAAATTCACAAGCATTAGCTAACAGCTAACATGTAAAGGACGTGTGCAGGAGCCTGGATGCAGTTTGTGGAGTTTATATGATCAACATAGTTTGGGTTGAAGGTTAAAAGTATAAAGTTATGGCTCACTTGCTTAGAGTTGTATTATATGGGAAGCAATGCTTACAGACTGACATAGTTTGATTTCTTTTGCTTCAAATGTATACTTTTATTTTGATAGTCTGGCAGAGACAGGAAGTTAGGCGAGAGGCGAGTGGAGCTGCCTCTCAGTCTCTCTGCTTGAACTGAACTTTTTAAGACTTTGATCCTTCTGGATTCAGGCACGTGTAGCTGCTCTGGACATTTGTACAGAAATATTTAAAACTGGACTCCTGCTGACTTTTGGAGAAACAGGGACTCAGTGGAGCGTCGAGCTGAGGCTTCATTCACTGGAAAGCTACAAAGTGCATTCATTTATCTTAACAAGCAAAGTTGATGTGATGTGACCAAAGCTGAAAAACCAAATATTTCTATTTTTCTGAACTTTCATCAGCTTGCTGAGCAGAAACATCTATGAAGAGTCCAGTCAGTGATTATTACTCATTAGAAGGGAAGATGAAGAATCCTGGTGTTGGAAGCTCACACTGTCTGCACTGTGCATGCAAAGTCCACTGAATGAATGAACCAGTGAATGTAGGAAGTGCCCACTGTTTCTGTAAGTATGGGAGGACCCACCTCTCTCTGCAGATGTCCCTGACACAGGCGGCCCTGGCCAGGATCTGCTCCCACTGGGCGTCCCTCCCCAGCACCACCCTGCTGTCCTGCTGGCTCATTAGATGCTGCAGCTCTGGGTAGACCCGGTCCTTACAGACATGACCAAAGCAGCACACAATCAAAGACAAACAGAAGCTGTGAACACATGAATATGACATTTATAGTAATGCGTTATTATTGCAAACCTGTTTCTTCCACAGAGCGGTCATGAGGCGCAGTCCCACTGCTCTCAGCTTGGGGGAGCCGGCCAGCATGTGCAGACTGTGCAGCACGATTGGGAAGCAAAGCTGGAATATTACAGCACATAAGATCAGAGCCAAGTTTACAAGAGAAACACACGGTTAACGCTGAAGAAGGCAGATGTTAGTTATTCACTGTTATTGGTGGATTGTGCTCACAGGCTGGTATTTGGGACACGCGGGTCACTGGTTTTTAAACTCTAGAAGCCTCCTGGATGAAGAGAAGCTCCTCAGACTACATGACCTGGATGACCCCACAGATAAAAGCTCATCTGTGTGTATGATGGACTAAAACACACTGTGAGCGCTCAGATGAAGTAGAAAGGTGCTGCTGATGTTCCAGCCCCGTCTCCAGACGCTCACAGTCAGTACAGGTTCTTCTTAGTCGTGCTGCGTACCTTATGAGTGCCGAGGTTTGGCAGGCTTGTGAGAACAGCGTGAGCCAGGACGGGATTCTTTTCTTTGGTCAGTTTGAACAAAAGAAGCAGCACGAGGGGCGGGACCTGCAGAGGGAAACACCCACATCAGCAAACACACCAACCAAACATTAAATGCACTTTGTCAGACCGTACAGAGGCTGCATCACTGACCTGTACGTGCACACAAACCGACAGCTTCACAGGATGTTCAGCATAAACAGATAGAGCAGGGTTGAGTCTGCCCTTGTGATACTAAATGTGTGGTGCCCATCTTGTACTCTGCAGTCAGTTAAAGCTTCAAAGATCACACATGAAGTCCTGACACTTTAGTATGAGACAGGTTACAAATAAGGAAACAGTGAGACAGCATCACGGTCCTTAGGTACACCGCGCTGCTGTGCAGTGTCACAGCTTAATTACCACCACACACCTAATGGCACTCCGAGCCTTAACTGTTGCAGAGCGACCGCTTCACCTGCACGGCCTGAGAGCGAGAGGGAGGGACAAAGAAAATAAAGCTCAGCGATGACACGTTTAATGCTGTCGAGCCAAAAACATCACTTTGAATCAACATCACTGCAGTAAATCATCATTAAGGTTTCATAGTGGTTAGCTTCTGGCTTTTCCTGTAACAAAGACCTGCTGCTGCACATTTAAGATGACAAGTACGAGCGAGCAGAGATCTCCAGAGGACTCAAATATGCCAACAACATTCAACCAGTGCATCCAAACACCAGTGTGTGCAGCACTCTGGGAGCAATTAGAGCAGAAGGTGAATCCTCTGGGGCCCGGTGCACGCTTGAGTAATGAGGGGTAACTTCACACTTCATCTGCAGCTAGTGACTCCAACACAAGTCCAGAGGGAGGTCTGTCCCCTTAGAGCACTCCCTAACCTGTCCCTTTATACGGCAGCAGATCAGCAGCAATCGCACAGCAGTGACAGCTTTTATCTTCCTGCTGATCTGAAGCATTTCAAAGTCATGTGTTGGTGCCAAAACACCAGGTTATCAACATGTGTTTACTGCTCTTAGAAAGACAAACACAAGCTAGCTCCCTTACATACAACATATCTACATGTCAGAGGGAACAACATGCATTACTTTATATTCAGTCCACAGATCTAAGAGAACAGTTGTGTGGGTTATCTACCTGGCAGGGGTCGGCAGCAGCGACAGCCTGGCTTGCTTTCAAAGCCAGCTGGCAGATGTTTTCCTGACCCATGATGATGAGATAAGTCACAATCACGACAAGAGAGGAGGACAGGCGTTGGCTGGACGACAGGGCAGAGCTGACCGCCAACAGCCAATCGGTCGCTGCTGCTGGATTGTTGGCCACTTTGCGCAGTACCGACAAATAGGGATGGGTATTGATAAGATTTTCACGATTCCGGTTCCATTTTCGATTCTTTATCGATTCTGTTTAAAAAAGGAGAACACTAAGGTCGATTAGCTTAGAACTTTGTTTTATATCTTCTCTTTGAACAAGATAGAAATTTAGGAGTAACATGGCCTTACAAACCCAACAGTGAGACCTTAAGAGATCCACAGCCTACAGCTCTTCAATGGGGTGTCACAGGGTCCCCGGGAAAAAAATATGTAAATGTAAAATAATAAAATAAATATTCTTCTGTAGCAATAATAAAGTATAACATAAATTATTCTGTAGCAATTACACAAGAATATCCAGTAATATCCCTGCCTACAATTAAACACATTCACTTACCGAAAATCGGTGCAAGCCTTTGACCACAAACTGAGTCACTGCTCGGTGACGTTCGTCTATCCTGGCCTGAAAGAAGACGCTACCGGCAGACTGCAGCGAGAACTGCCAGCATCTGAGCCAGACTCTGTCTCTCTCATCATGGTCACTTAAATGCACAGTGATGGCAAGTTTGTAATAAGGCAGATCGCGCTAACATAATATGCACTGTTAGTTGATTTTTTACCTGCCGCATTAATGGGAGAGGACGTGCAAACATTACCGCTGCTGCTGGGTTGAGATTCACGAGTCCGGAGCGGAATTAAAAACACGACATTCATTTAAAGTTATCGTGTGTTATAATATATATAATATATATAATATAAAGTTCTTCCTCTCAAACAAATATTCCAAAATGTTTGTCCCAAACAAAGGAAACCAAGATTACCATCCACCCACTAACTAAACAACACTTTAGGTTTTCTTACATATTTTAATAAGAATTTATGCTTCTTGATGTTATGCAAACGGAATATTTTGCACAAATAGAAATTCTCTTTGAGTTGGACTGAATGAATTTCACTTAATCTGATAATAATATTGATAATAATAACAATTATTTATTAAATATACTAAACAATGAGGGGATGAGCACGTCTGTTTCAACAGCATCAGTAAACACATATTGCTTTTGAATACTATTAATATACTAACACAGTAACCCAACCCCCTCCCCAAACACACACAGTCCCACCCACCTGCTGTTACCATAACGATAAGCCAGGCTGTACTGTCCACCTGCTACCAGCAGCCTGTTTACTGGCTCCCAAAAACAGGTACAGGTAAGTCAGCACCTGTTCATCTTATCAACAGCTTATTTACTACAATATGTAGAACAGAGTTACTGACCAGTCAGAGCAGCGTGACAGTGCACACACACACGCACACACACACACACACACACACACACACACACACACACACACACACACACACACACACACACACACACACGCAAACACACCCACACGCACACACACACACACGCAAACACACACACACACGCACACACACACACACACACACAAACGCACGCACACACGCACAAGCACACACACACACACACACACACAAACGCACGCACGCACAAACGCACACACACACACACACACACACACACACGCACACACACACACACACACACACACCCACACACACATCACTGCACTTTAAATCTGAACACTTTCAAACGTGTCACCAACATGAAGAAGACGTTCCAACAACATAAAGAAAGCCTTCATTATATTTTAGGTGATGCTGAAAATAAGCTCAGTCCTGTTTCATGGTTGTGAATGGTTTGAAAGTCTGAAACCAAACAGTGCCAGCGGTTTCTACAGGATGTTGCCTATACAGCAAACAATACAGGCTGTGCTGTAATGCTAGGTCTGCACTAGCAATACAAGCCAGAACAATGCATGAGCACGATGCTTTAGAAATGACACCACGGAGGCTTTGCTGTGCAACACTCAGACTGCACGAGCCCGACGGGCCTGACGGGCCGCGGCTTTTTGGGAGAGCACTCAGCGGCAGAGTGGCAGCCTGTGATTGCTGTGGTGGAGCCCTGAGGTCATCACAGTCGGGGCTTTGATGGGCAGAGCTTTGACTTTTCTGTGTAAGTACATGAGATTTATGGCAGTTACTTTTCATTTTGATATGTTCTCATTTATTCTTGTGTTAGTTTATAGAAATGCTTTAGTCACTCTGGGGTCACCACAGCAGGAAGCTCCATTTGGCAGCTTTTATTTTTTAAAGCTTCTTATTTGCCTTTAAAAAGTGACTTTGTCACTTCCTGAGCCAACGTGTTACCATGACACTAAGGAGGCACACTGGGAATACTGGGAATACAGTTTCAGACCTGAGGCATCATCTGCAAAGGATTTTCATCAAGGTATTAAAAACAATCTTTATATTTAAAATGAATCTGTCCAATAAATGTGGTGAGAGCATTAAAATATTTCTGAGAACTGAAAGCAATACTTTTGTTAAAGCTTCAAATCTGTACTTGAATCATGATTTAAACTGTGGTTGTGAACAGGGAATAAAATGATGTAATGAGGTGATGTTGCTCCTCCTCCTCATTTACCCAGGGAATTCTCTCACGTCATCTTGGTGGCTGTTTATGTTCCCCCCTCTGCTAACCCCACAGCTGCATGTGACACTATCCACTCTGCCATAGCTCGGCTACAGACTCAGCACCCGAGTGCCTTTATTGTGATCTCAGGTGACTTCAACCATGTATCACTGGACAATACACTACCAACATTCAAACAATATGTGGACTGTCCCACCAGGGAGAGAAAACTTTAGACTTACTGTATGCTAACGTCAAGGATGCATACAGCTCCTCCTCCCTCCCCCCACTTGGTAGGTCAGATCATAACCTGATTCACCTCACCCCCCGCTATGTGCCAATTGTGAGGAGGGAACCTGTGACCACCAGGACTGTTAGGAGGTGGTCAGAGGAGGCAATAGCGGAACTACAGGGCTGTTTCGAGGTGACCGACTGGGAAACACTCTGTGAGCCTCACGCCGAGGACATCAATGGGCTTACTGAGTGTATCACAGACTACATAACTTTCTGCACCGACTCCATTGTTCCAGCTCAGACTGTTCATTGTTACCCAAATAACAAGCCGTGGG